GAACATATGGTTTCCTCGCATGGCGTAGCCCCGTCCTCTGCCCTCCTTGCCCTTCTTTGCGCTCTTTCATCTCCGTTGTTTTTTCCCGCTCAAAGCTCCGTGCGGCGGGGCGGGGTCATAGCTCGCTTGCCCAGCCCGCGGCTGGGGCCAGGCCAGGACCCCCCTCTAGTCCAGGCGGCGACCGGAGGGGTCGCGCGGCCTGCCGCGGCCGCCATATGCGGCCGATCCACGCGCTCGAGTGCAGCGTTGCGACAGCCATCCTCGCGGTGCTGCCATGGTTGGCCGCGTCGCTGGGCGTAGGACCGCACGCTGGGTTCTCCACGACGGCCACGTACCGTGGACCAGAGGGGGCGGCCAGGCACGAGCCGACGACGGCGACGGCAGTTTAGAGGACAATAGCGAGGCAGCTGCGAGGGCGCACCAGGACGACCCCCCTGGCTGCGCCGCAGCGGGCGAGGAGACGCCGCTGGCCACAGCGGGTCCGGACGCGCAGCTCGCGGGGCCCGAGGAGGCAGCGACCCCCGCCTTTGGACGGGCCCCTGGCCGCGAGTCCGCCACCAGCCACGGCCAACGCGGGCGAGCGCCCTGAGGAGCCCGGTGGGTCGGTCAGCCGATGCGCCAAGCGCGGCGCCGATCCTTGGCCAGAACCTCGAGTGCTCGATGGAGCACGAATCTTATTACTGTTACGACTCGCCTCCTGCCCAGCCGGCGCCGCCAACGCGCCCGGTCGGGGACGAGAGTGCCCCGTGGCCGGGGCCTCGCCCGACCTCCTGGGCTGCCGCCGAGGACAGGGGCGCCGCCGCCCCCCCGCCGCCGCCCGAGGATCTCCCGCCCGCGGAGGGGGCGAGCAGCTGGAGGATCAGCCGCCCAGTCAGGAGCCGCAGCAGCAGAAGGGGCCAGAGCTTCAGACAGCGGTCGTTACAAGGATCAGCGCGTGGATCGAGGCGGCCCTCAAGTGGCTCAACGAGCGCGTCGGTCATGCTCTGGGGGCACTGTTGCGCCAACTGCTGGCTTTCCTCACGGGCATGGTGGGCGCCATGGGTCGGTGCCTCTTCAGCGAGTATTGGCTTTAGATCCAGTGGGTGGCTATGTGTCTCGTGGCTATCGGGGTGATCGCTGTCTTGGGCTCGACGATCGGGTTCGCGCCCTGGTTCCTTCGGAAGGTCCGGGTCTACGGCGCTTGCGTCGTGGCGACCGCGCGTGGCTTCGCCGAGGGCATCAAGACGGGGCGCGATTCGCGGGCTGCCCTGAACGGGGGCCTGACCGCCGCTCTAGCGTGGCGAGGGCCAGAGGAGACGCTGGCCGCGGACGAGCACTGCGTCGAAAACGAGGTGCGTGTCTGAGGAGGAGGGGGAGGAGTTGAGAGGACGACGCCGAAGGACCTCATCATCAGGCCAGGAGGCGCGGCGGCCCGACTCGAGCAGGGGGCCCGTCGAAGGCGGCCGCGTCGCCCGCCGTGGGCGCGTCCGCCGCTTTGAGGAGGCGAAGGAAAGTTCGCGCCGATGCCTCCCTCGAGGCGGACCTGGAGGCCGCCCGAGACGAGGAGGGCGCGGGCGCAGTGCGCCTCCGCGCGGCGACGCTATCCACTCTTCCCGAAGGCGAGGAGAAGATCGCGCACGTCTGCTCCTCCTGCGTGGTCGACCATAGCAGTCAGATCATCATGGCGGACATGGCTAAACTCTAACCGCCAGGGCGGGCGAGGGCGGGCGGTCGCGCGCGCCGCGCAAATGTGTCCCAGGGCGTCGGCGAGCTCCTCGGGCGAGCGCGCCGGGGCAGGCAAGGACAAGGTGGAGGAGATGGGCCCGAACTCAAAGAGCGAGTCCGAGCCGGGCGCGGGCGTCTGCGAGGCGGACAAGATCGCTTTCGCGGCTAAGGACGGCCCCCGCGTCCTCTGCGCGGGGGGCTGCCGGGTTTCCGCCAGGCAGGAGCCCGTCGCGACGCTGGTAGAGGACGCGGCGGTCTCAGACGCACGCGGCGCGCAAGCTGGGGCGCCGAGGAGGCGGCGGCCCAAGACGTGCTCGGGCCCTTCGAGCCCGAGGAGGCCTGGGAGGGCCCTGCTTCTCCCCCTCCGCCCTCTCCACAACCACCGCCAGTGCTCTCAGACGAGCAAAAGGCTCGAATTCAGAGCAATCGCGAAGCAGCCAGAGCATTGCGCCATAAGCGCCGTGCCCCATGGTCCTCCACTACCATCTTATGGCTTGAAGGTTTGAATACAACTTGTGTGTTTGCACCCAGGTCATATATTTCTCCTGGTTGCGTTTTCCCGCAAGTTTGGAGAGTTGTGAGCACGCATTGACTGCCATGCCACCGTTGCACCACTGCCCTCCTCCTCGTGGCCTTGCCCTTCCTTTTCCCTCATTCCTACTCTTCCCTGTCTCCTCCCTCCACCTGTCTCCTCCCTCCCCCTGTAGCCTTCCCCTCCATCCCCGCACTCGCCCCCCCCGCACCCCCCCCGCAGGCCTCGTCGCGAGCCCGGGGCCGTTCTATGGGCGTCGGCGAGGCACTCGCGCGCGCGCCCGGCAGGCTGCTTGCCCTTGGGGGAAGAGGGGGAGCCCGCCTTCTTGCCTTGCTTTCGGGCGCCGTGGATATGGGCCTGCCAAGTCCGGCTACCCGTAAGAGTGACCTTTCGCCGCAGTGGCCTCTGGTGCGGGCACACAGGGGTCCCCGGATCGCTGCGTGCGATGCGATAGCCACGGCTTGCACGCCCGGGTGTGGCCTCCCCGCGCCCCCCCGAGTGCCGCGCACCAAAGCTTCCTCTTGCTTAGGGGTCACTCTTGCGCGTCGTCGGCAGGTGAGCGACGCAGAGAAACGGGATCGTCGTCACCGACATTGGCGCGCAAGCCGCACGCGTTAAGGCCGCGCGCGAGGGCCCTCGTTTCCAATGGGGAGTACCGTGCTGGCGGCCTGCGTAAGCCGCGGCGCACGGGCGCTATGCCATCTCGAGTAAGACCCGCGTGTTTTCGTCGCTCGAGTGGGGGCCGAGCAGGCGGAATCAGAGGATCGGCGATGCGGCTCAACGTGAAACCCGATTTTCTCCATGCCGATGGGTCCGATGCATCGCTGACGTCGCCGATGCATCGGCGGTGCACTGGCGGTGCACTGGCGATGCAGCGTGATCCTTCGACCCCCTTTACTCGGGCCCTATCTGAAGGCTGCCGCCTCCGCCGCCTATCCTACGCCAAATCTGATTGACAATGTTGCAATCCGTTTTAGCAACGCGTTTGAGTTGGCAAAGAAATCAGGAATATGATCGTATTATTGAATCGCTTCGCTCATTCCGCCGGCCCATTTCGCATGACTGAGCCTCTTGGGGCCGCTTGGGGGCCTCTTCAGCGTCGCTTGGGGGCCTCCTGAGGGCCTCTTGGGGGCTTTTGGGGCCTCTCAGGGGCCTCTTGAGGCCTCCTGGGGGCTTCTTAAGGCCGAGGGCTCGAAGTTTTGTTTTGTGTTCCCCCTTTGGGGCATCGCTTGGGGCCCTCTTGGGCCCCTCTTGGGCCGTCTTGGATGCCTCTGGGGCCGTCTTGAAGCCCTCTTGGGCCATCTTGGGGCCTTCTTGGGAGCTTCTTGGGCCCTCTTGGGGCGATCTTGGGGGCCTCTTGGGCCGTCTTGGGGCGTCGGGAAGCCGAAAAGATGGACACGCCCAAATCTGCCCAAAACCTAAGGAAAAGTAATGAATTTTGCCTCTTGGGGCCGCTCTTGGAGCCCTCTTGGGGCGTCTGGGGGCCATCTTGGGCGTCTTGGAACGATCGTGTGGCATCTCGGAGCACTCTTGAACCATCTTGGAGGGCTCTTGGCGGCATCGTGGCCCTTCTTGGGGCTCTCTGGAGGGCCATGGGGGCGGCGCCCAGGAGGAAAACCATCTCTGACCCGAGTCTGCCGGGGATCGCCCGGGGTACTTTTCGTCTGGGGACCCCCAGGGGCCGCCCCGCGCGCGCGAAGTAGAAGTATTATTTAGCAGTTACCGGAGATCTTAGCACGCCTCTGGCCCGTTGGGCCGGCGAATTGATCGCTCCTACTCCCGCTTGTTTTCGTTTGGGTTGGGCGATGATTTGGGTGGCTCCGTAGTGTGGTCGTTCAGTGTGTCATCGATGTCGGTGAAGGCCGTCTTAACGCTGCGCGTGATGTTTGATATTGATCTCGTTGGTCTCCTGTGTTGACCTGTCCTTTAGTTGATCGTGGTTGATTGTAGTTTGAGACCTGAAATTCCCACCCGAAGCGAAACGCCGACAAGGCAAAAAGCAGTGGTTTCCTTTAGATTATGGAAGAACTTTGGCCTCTTGGGGTATCCTTGGGGAGCGGTCTTGGAGACTCTTGGAGCCGTCTTGAAGCGGGCTTGGGGCCTCTTGCAGGCCTAGCAGTGGCCATCTTGAGCCATATTAAAATACTTTGAGCAATCTTGGAGGCCATCTTGGGCTCTCTGAGACCATCTTGGAGCCATGCTGACCCAACATCCTTCCAATGATGCCCCGCGATGCCATCATCTTTGAACATCTTATTCAACAGAAGACTTAAGCTAGCTGAATTCAGACCCAGGTGAACTCAGACCAAGGCCTGCGCTGCAGCGGGAGTGCCTGGGTCCGAGTTCCCGAGTTCAGCCGGGTCCGAGTTCAGCCGGGTCCGAGATCAGCCAGGTCCGAGTTCAGCCGGGTCCGAGTTCAGCCGGGTCCGAGTTCAGCCGGGTCCGAGAGCTGGGTCCGAGACCAGCCAGGTCCGAGCTCAGCCGGGTCCGAGTTCAGCCGTCGGCTGATCTCGGACCCGTCCGCGCCCGAAGTCTCGCGGCCGCGCGCCAGCACGACCTCGCCGTCGCGGCCAGCTTCTTGTTGGAGGTTCGGGGACGAGGTGATTGCTGATTTCTCTCGTTTCGCGGGGTGCACGTCTGGAGCGCGTGCTGTCCAGTCGTTGCGGGGCCCGGTGGGAGCCTTTTGGGGCCTGTTGGATGCGTCTCGAGAGCGTACGAGGGCCTCCTGGGGGGTTTGTTTGGGGCCTGCCGCGGCTTCTTGGGGGCGTCTTGGGCCGAGATTGCAATCGCTGTGCACTGCGCAGGTGGAGAACGCGTGCAGCCCAGTCGTTGTGGGGACTCCTGGTGTCCTGTGCGGGGGGGGTCCTCATGGCCTCCGCGGGACCTCCCACCCTCGCCGGTCCAGAATTGCCGCAGCGACTTGCCCGGCCAAGCAGAGTGTCCCGGAAACTCTTGGTCCAAAGCGTTCCCGTATAACGTCCCCCAGACGTTTCTCCAATGTCTCCAGCAGAAGCTCCCCCACCAATAACCTGGGGGCTGGCGGTAAACCGTCGACCAGGTTACCGCTGGGACCCTCGTAAAGCTCTTGACACGCGAATTAGTGCTCAGATGACGAGAAGAAAATTTCTTCGATTATCAGCCTGAAAACTTGAGAATGTTTTTCCCAACCATCCTGTGGTGTTGGGTCCTCGTTTTGAAGAAACGGTCCCCGCGTTCTTCCATCCTCCTCCTCCTCCCCCTCCTCCTCTCCACCGTCCGCATGCGTCGCGCACACCCAGTACAGCGCTTCGTGGCCCCATAGGGAGCTCCATCGAAGGCCCCAGTGCCGCCGCCCGCATGCGTCACGCACACCCATTTCATTTCGGCACACCCCTCACACGTTTCGTGGCCCCATAGGGAGCTCCACCGAGGGCCCCAGTGGCTGCGTTCGCATGGCGGCACCGCACCCATTTCGGCACAGCCCTCACACGCTTCGTGGCCCCATAGGGAGCTCCACCGAAGGCCCCAGTGGCTGCGTTCACATGGCGGCACGGCACCCATTTCGGGACACCCCTCACACGATTCGTGGCCCCATAGGGAGCTCCACCGAAGGCCCCAATGGCTGCGTTCGCATGGCGGCACCGCATTCATTTCGGCACCCCCCTCACACGTTTCGTGGCCCCATAGGGAGCTCCACCGAGGCTCCAGTGGCTTGCGTTCGCATGGCGGGCACCGCGCCCATTTCGGAACAACACCACGTTTCGTGGCCGCATAGGGAGCTCCACCGAGGGTTCCAATGGCTGCGTTCGCACGGCGGCACCGCACCGGCACACCCCTCACACGTTTCGCGGCTCCCTAAACAGCTCCACCGAGGGCCCCAATGGCTGCGTTCGCACGGCGGCACCGCACCCATTTCGCCACACCCCTCACACGTTTCGTGGCCCCATAGGGAGCTCCACCGAGGGCCTCAGTGGCTGCGTTCGCATGGCGGCACCGCACCCATTTCGGCACACCCCTCACACGTTTCGTGGCTCCATAGGAAGCTCTACCGAAGGCCCCAGTGGCTGCATTCGCATGGCGGCACCGCACCCATGTCGGCACACCCCTCACACGCTTCGTGGCCCCTGAGGGAGCTCCACCGAGGGCCCCCTGGCTGCGTTCGCATGGCGGCACCGCGCCAATTTCGGCACACCCCTCACACGTTTCGTGGCCCCATGGGGAGCCCCACCGAGGGCCCAGTGGCTGCGTTCGCATGGCGGCACCGCGCCCATGTCGGCACACCCCTCACACGCATCGTGGCCCCATAGGGAGCTCCACCGAAGGCCCCAGTGGCTGCGTTCGCATGGCGGCACTGCGCCCATTTCGGGACACCCCTCACACGTTTCTTGGCCCCATAGGGGGCTCCACCGAGGGCCCCAGTGGCTGCGTCCGCATGGCGGCACCGCGCCCATTTCGGCACACCCCTCACACGCATCGTGGCCCCATAGGGAGCCCCACCGAGGGCCCCAGTGGCTGCGTTCGCATTGCGGCACCGCACCTATTTCGGCACACCCCTCACACGTTTCGTGGCCTCATAGGGAGCTCCACCGAGGACTCCAATGGCTGCGTTCGCATGGCGGCACCGCGCCCATTTCGGCACACCCCTCACACGTTTCGTGGCCCCATAGGGAGCTCCACCGAGGGCTCCAGTGGCTGCGTTCGCATGGCGGCACTGCGCCCATTTCGGGACACCCCTCACACGTTTCTTGGCCCCATAGGGGGCTCCACCGAGGGCCCCAGTGGCTGCGTCCGCATGGCGGCACCGCGCCCATTTCGGCACACCCCTCACACGCATCGTGGCCCCATAGGGAGCTCCACCGAAGGCCCCAGTGGCTGCGTTCGCATGGCGGCACCGCACCCATTTCGGCACACCCCTCCCACGCTTCGTGGCTCCATAGGGAGCTCCACCGAGGGCTCCAGTGGCTGCGTTCCCATGGCGGCACCGCACCCATTTCGGCACACCTTTCACACGTTTCGTGGTCCCTTAGGGAGTTCCCTCTCATTCGTTCAACCTGCTTTGCGGTATTCGTAACTGCATATGGTTGGGTCCGTCGCCAGGATAACTTTTCAGTTCTACTGGGTTTCTTCACGCTTTCTGATAATAGCACTGCAGCTGCGGACCTGAGAATTTAACGGGGTTGCGCGAAATTGCCCACTACGCGTGAGGAGAATATTGGTTGTCAAAACGATCGGGCAAGTTTCTCAAAGTCTTCAAAAAACCAACCCAAAGTTCCCACATTGTTCGC